AAGTACAGACACTCTGCCAAGGCTTTTACTGGCTCATCATATACCACATAGACAAACTCAGACAGTACAGCATTGGTTTGTGTGCAGAGTGAGAGAAAAGGATTGTTTCTTTCTTCTACATGTAGACAGGCATTCAATTCATCCAACACTATCTTTTAGATATGCTGTCTTTTCTCCAGTTTATGTGTTTTTAGCATCTCCATCATCATTAGGTGGGTGCTGGTGTGTGGACTTACATCTTGGTCTTTGGTTCTGTTCTGGCAATCAATGTGTCTGTTTTTCAACAGTGCCATGCTGTTTCTACTACTATGGTTCTGCAGTATAAGTTGCAATCAGATATGGTATGCCTCCTGCAGTGTCTTTATTGTTAAGGATGTAGACTGTGATAAGTGCAGTTCTCAGATCTCATCAGAGAACTTTCTTTGTTCAGTGGACGGTTGTTAATGCAGAAACTCACAACTACCCAAAGTGCAGTAAATAAGAGTCAATGGAATGATCAGTCACAACTAGAACATCTCCATCTTCTCTCTCCAAAGCTCAGGGATCATCCAGGAATAGAGGATGGGAAGATTGTAAGATCTGGTGGTTGGGGAGGACAGTAGAGGAAAGTGTCTTTGTCCAAGACAGGACTTAAACACTCATGAACTCCTAGCAACTGTGGTTTCCTGGACAAGACCTACACACCATCAAGTCAGTTAGCATCCTAGCATTGGCTATAAAGCGGTTTGTGGGTCCCATCCATAACTGAGAGATATGGACAGCTGATGACTTGTTGGGGAGGGAGATTAGTTTTCTTCAAGGGCATGGCTCCTAGTAAGAGGTAGACAACTCCAGGTGATGGTCCCACATCAGGAGTATACGGGCAGCCTAGATTGGAGTACATAAGTTATTGAAACAAAAATGGGACATGAGTTACTGGGAGGAACCAGGGGTGAATGCAATCAAAATACACTGTATGAAATACTCAAGAGAATTGGTTGATTTTTTTTTCATTTCTAGTAAGTAAATGTCTCTAAGTAAAAGTGTTCACAGTATATTGTTTCATGTACATATATATATAAATATATACATACACGTAATACATATGTGTGTATTATGTATAGTTATAAATTGGAATCCCATTTGAAATGGAAGCCCTGAATGTGACTCTCAGGCTTGACCTGACTTGCGTAACTCCTGATTGGTGAATAGTTTAAGTCAGTCACTTTTTGCAAAAGGTATTGGTTCCATGCAACAGTTGTTCAGCCACACTTTTACCTCAATACCATGATCAATAAAATGTATCCAGGTACTGGCTCTAAGGGGACAAAGTAACCACCTTAGAAAACTAGTAGGTTGTTCTAAAGCAGTGGTTCTCAATCTCTATAATGCTACAACCCTTTAATACAGTTCCTCATGCTGTGGTGACCCCCAACCATGCAATTATTTTGTTGCTACTTCATAACTGTAACTTAGAAGTGTAACTATCTGATAGGTAGGATGTCAGATAAGCTGCCCCTATGGGGGTCATTACCCACAGGTTGAGAACTGCTGATCTAAAGCATATGAGAGGAATTCTGTAAGCAAGTCAGCATGGCTAGCAGATGCCACTGGAATCTGTGAATGCCATTTGACCCTTGTTCCCTCAGTCAGCAGCTATTGGATCTGATTCAGTTTCTTGAGATAAGCATCAGCATATATGCTCATATCTAAGCAGAGATCATAGGGTGATAATGATAAAGTGTTGTAGGATCACTTTAAGGGGTACTTATGACACTGGTTGTCATTGCTGGAGTTTCAGAAATGCCCAGAGTAAGATTATGAACACTGAAAAAATAAAAGTAACTCTTAACAATTGCAAAGTCTCAACTTATGCCTCCGTCTGCAGCTAAAGCAGATCACCTTGAAGTATTTTTTGGCAGAGATGCTAGTTCCGTGAGGGAATCAATCCTACACTCCCATACGCCCACACCGTCTTTTCCATCTGCTGCTTTGAAAAGACCAAGGGGACACATTGACAAGTTCAGTTATCTGAGGCCAAATGACATCTTTGAGTTGGGTGTTTCTCCATTAGTTTTTACAAAGGAAATGGAGACATTGTGAGAGCCGTGAGACGCCCCAGGCAGGGAAGTGGGCGTGTGAGTTGTATGTCCATTACACTCTTAGGCACTTTCCTTCTGGTTGAATTCTGAAGCATGTGTGTTCAATTAACAGCATCCACTTACCCCCACTTCCCCACCCCTCCCCAAATACAGGCCTGCATCTGCAAGGTCAGCTAACTCTTGAAAATACTTCTTTGAATAATTCATCTGTCACCTCTAGGTACAATTTTTCCAGCCCAAAGGAATTCTAAGAATGTTAACTTGATTTATGAATTTTGTTTATCTATGCTTCATCAGATTTCTCAAGCATATAAAAATTTGTTTGGGGGGTATGACACCATATTCAATTCTCCTAACCTTTGCTATGTACTTTTAAATCACCAAGAACCTGTTATTTGGTGGTACCCCCAAACAGTCAGTTTAAGACTTTCCTTGAAGGAAAGAGGTATCAAACTTGAACCAGACTTGTCTAGAGAACTTATTAAACACACAAATTTGAGAAACTAACCCAATCAAAACTTTGGTCTTTTCCCTAGTGAAATGTGTACTAACTTCTTATGAAGTTCAGTTAGCAGACAGTGCATATCTTCAGTCTAATGTTCACTTGATGTTCACACCTGGACATGCCCATGCACTCAGCATGTGGGTCCCAACAGAACCCACTGACTGCACTCCACCCAGTCGCTGCTTCCTTCCAGAGTGCTGTCTAGTGGAATGCAGAAAACACTCAAGATGGAAAGAGATAAAAATCACAAGATTCCCATGGGAGTCTTATTCTCCTCTTCTATGAGGGAATGGAACAGCAATTATATGAAAATGCTTCACCACTGCGTGTGATGAGCTATGAAGACGGGTTTTCAATGACAGTGGGCTGTGACTGAGAGCGCTGTTTAGTTTTCTATCCATACAGAGTGTCCATTTCACAGTTTGCATTGGAAAAACGATTGGGCTTGACTACAGTCAAGAAGAATGAGATCTCCTAGGAATTTTTCACATGCCACCTTCTAAAGTGCCTCTTACAATCTCAGGATCTTGATAGACTTGCCTATTATCAGGTCAGAGCTCAGCCATTCCAGACTCAGGGTGCTGGTTGTCTGTTTCTAAGGGACCCAGTGTATTAAATAAGCTAAAAGGATTGATTCTACAATCCAAGCCTGGTATATTAAATTACAATGACTAGACCAGGCACATGAGGCTTTTGGCCAAAACATATCTGCTGATGCTGTCTGGGGGAAGTCACACCATATTGATTAACTTGCTCAGAATAAGAAAAATTAGGTTTCAGGAAGCTCTCACAATAAGCAGAGTCTGGTTTTCATCCTTTTGAATGGCACCGCCACAGACTGTACCAATTCCCTTCAGATTCCCTCAACTGTCAGTTTAAACATCAGTACTTTACAGGCTCCCCAAGAAATGGCCCTTCCTGATTCGTCCAATCCAGGAAAACCCCATGTGGATAGCACTGTAATGGAAGTTCACTGGGCTTTCAATACTTCAGGGTAAGACTATTTGGACCACCACTTCACTGACCAAGAGTCATCCTTCTTCCCCAGCAGAAGGTAGGTCTGGCACCCAAAGTTCCTGGTGCCCATTTGTTTGTTTTACTTTTCTTCCTAGGGGTTCAAAATCAGAAGCCTTAGATAGAAGATGAAATTCGTAAGAGCTGTTCAGCCCACAGTTCAGTTCAATGCTAATTCTGAGATTCTGTTCTCTGACCTCCTCTCAGATACTTGGATGCTCTGACACTTAGAGTACTGTTTTCACTTGTCTCTGAATGCTGATCTGATTCTTTTATTCATCATTGGCTAATTACCCTTCTTGCTACATTTAACAGTTAACCAATAAGACCGTTATTTTAAAATATAAATATTTTCAGTCCTGAGATTCTTTCATATTGTGAGACTTATTCTTGTCACTTATCAAAAAGGATTATTAAGAGTATATACTGGTCCATCCATGTTGGTCGTGAGTTCCTAGGAACATAGCTGCTGAAAGAAAATGAACATATAATGCTTCTTGGCTGTTCAGGTGAACCTCATGCCCAAATAAACTTTATTAATGAGATTTGTAAAATGGAAAGGTTTAAGGATTGTTGACATATCAAACACACAGTGCCTAGAATGGCAAATGGCAGCTAGTACCGGTTACCAAGCCCCAATCCTTGAAAAAACAACATTTGTTTTCTATTTTTTTTTATTTTTCCACTTTATCTTTTTTTCACACATTAAGACTGTTATTTTGACTTAAATTCATCTATAAATAGCTGAATAAGTATTAATTCATTCTTGAAACACTGAAAACAAAAATACATTAAAATAATATAATCAAAACAAAATTTAAATGTTACTCTTCTGAATATACTGCTAATGAAACAAGTTATTTTAAAAGATCTGAATTATAGACTTATTTCTCTTCTACAGTACTTAAAGTTTGAAAGAAACTGCTCATCAAAACCACCACTAACTATGACTCCTTTTTATATAAAGAAGTTACATGATTTTATTGGAAGTCACTTCTAAATTTCAATATACCAAAAATACGTTAAATTTCAACTTCTTGTGGCCAGAAAATTTGAAAATACATATTTAATTATTATCACAAATTCAAATAAAACAATAAAATAATAATCACATTCAGAGTATTTAATGTTTATAAACATTATTGATGATGAGCTAGGATATTGATTCAGATACTGGACTAGTCATGCCTGACAGAGCCACTGGAAGAGACAGAGACCCTGTGTATGTCTCTCCCCTACTCACTTTGCCCCTTCCCTTCCTTCCCCTTCCCTTCCTTTCCCCTCCCTACCTTTCCCTCACCTTTTTTCTTTTCCCTTCCCTCCTCTCCCCCTCCTCTTCCCCTTCTTTCCTTGCTTCCATCTTCCCTCCATCTCTCCCACCTTCCCTATCTTCCCTCATCAACTGAATGTACAGGACCCAAGTCTGCATACCCTATACTAAGAACCAGTCAAAAACATCCCTTAACCACCCCCCTTTTGCATAGACTCTGTATTCATATGACCTAACTTTACAATAATAGTTTACAAAACAACTGAAAAGCATACATGGCAAAAATAAACTTCCTGGGTTTGAACTCAATAGTCAAAGGCATTAAGATTTTCCAAGGCTAAGGCAAAAGACAATATAAATACCAATTGTGTATCTAGAAACTGGGCTATTTACAGTTTGGCCATACAAAGAAACAGAAGTGTCTCAGAAACACTATTCTCAGGTAAGTTGTCACTAAAAGAAGCTTAGCTGACACATTTCAGATGTTTAAATGTGGGAGACCTGTAAAACCAACTCAGTATTTAATCATATAAATATTTTTCTTCCCTCTCGACTCTTTTATTTGGAAGTAGAATTTCAGTCAGGATAATTTGATAAATCGTGTGTCAGCACTTTTTTAAAAGAGTCCTCTGTTGTTTCAAAAGCTGGCAGCTTCCAAACAGGCAGAGTTTCAGAAGAACTGATGTGGACCAAGCAGAAAGAATTCAGACTCCCACTGGCAAACCACCTGCACAAACACACGTCCTGCTTCGATTTGGGCTGCTGGCTTTGGAACCCTCACTTAGTTAGGGCGCTCTGGGGCTCTTGCTCGCAGAGGCCTATCTGCAGGAATGAAGGAAAGCATGTTATCAGTAGAGCTTGGATTTCAGTCATCAATGCGAGCTTCACTATAGCGTTGGCAATGCTTGCTTCCTATCAGGACAGTCACTAAACCATTTCAGCATGTCATGAGTGTAATTTGGTATTTTAGTGGAATTTCCAGTCAGGCATATTCTCGGGCAGAATATAAAAAGATAGAAAAGACTGTGCAGGCATTGTCCTCTTCCAAAGTTGTCATGGCCCCCACCACTCAACTTGGTCTGTTCCCATCTCCTTTGGGGCCATTCAGGGTTGTAAGGATGCCTGCCACATACAGTGCTTTCTTTAGCCTCAATCAATAGCATATATTCTATTATTATGAGAGCTGATTTAGTGTCCCCAGCTCATACTTTAAAGGTCAGTAATGTTTTGATTGTTTTCTTTGAGGAATGGAGACTTAAATTATTTTTAATTGCAGTTCTTTATTGTAGGACAGTTCTGGATTCGTTTCTTTAAATTTTCAAAGACAGTACAGAGACTTTTCACCTCAGGGCACACTCCAAACAGCTGACAAAAATATTGATTCTCTTTGATAATCTACAGTCAAGATATTCTGATTCCTTGGTTGTCAGCTGATACCCTTGTCGTGTGTCAAGGTCACACTGCCTTTGATGCCGTCACCATATACCTTAGACTCCTCATAGACGCAGGCGCTTCTTAGACCTCCTTTGTTTCCTATGACTGTCACACTTTTGAGAAGCACAGATGAGATTTTCTGAGGGGAGCCCTCACTTCCAGATAAACATTTGTGCTCATGATGTTGACCACTCTTCTTTCTGTCACCACAGGATGTCCCAGACTTATCATACATGTTTTTCTACACTAGTCCCCAACTTTCTCTTTCTGAGGCCCTTTTTTTTTGGAAGAAGGAGATCAATATAGAATATCTTACTTAGTTATTGTCTACATTAATCTACTGTGTGTGTGTGTGTGTGTGTGTGTGTTGTATGCATATGAGTGTGTATGCAAGCAATGCCCATACTATATACTATGGCTGTCTCCCTCTATCCTGATCTCTGCCTTGTTGCCTTGAAATGGGTCTCTTACTGAACTGGATGCCCTCCATTTTGGATAGGCTTGGTGGCCAGTAGTTCTGTTGAGATTCACCTACCTCTGTCCACCATTGCTGAAGTAACAGGCACACTCAACTTCTAAGTTCATGCAAGAGATTTGAACTCAGCTCAAGTATTCTTACCCACAAGTCATCTTTACCCACAAGTCATCTTACCACTCTCCCCATTGAGAGTTTTAATGACACCTTGCTTGACTTTATTTTGAATGACCACAAATGGTGGTTCCTGTATGAACAAACTTTTTAAACCAATCATACAAACAGGAACAAGATTCCTAGGTTTTTGAGAAGTTTGCCCAGGTTTCTAGAAGTTTCCCAGGTTTTCTGCAGAAGTTACCATTAGAATGTTCACATTTTAATCATCATACAAGCACATGATTTCCAATGAAAAGAATGGAGTACTACCCTGATGATAATGTTTACCCTAGGGATTAGAGAATGCTCATTCAAAGGCAAGTGTGTTCATAGAAAGGAGCCCATTTGTGTGGGTGCAAAAACCAGTACTCATCACAGCCTTCCCTCTCTTTTGCAGTTCAAAGTCAAACTGTAGAAGATACAGACTACTGGGTATGACCATGCGTACCAGAGACCCCCATGCTATCAGGGACAGACAGAGATGGGGATCAGCTGCTAGCCTCTCCCAGTGTTCATTGAGAAAACCTACAGCCGGGGACTAATATACCTGATGTCCTTCCTCCTCTGACCTCTAAGTTGTGCGCAGGTACACATTCCCCTCCACACGCGTGTACATATACCACACATGTGAGCAAACATTTGCCACACATCACACATAACACTCACAAATCAAGCTGCCGCACTGAAGAAAACTCTATCTAGGCAACTTAAATTTCTGATAGTTTATGAGGAAAAATAATTGTGAGGTATTATTAGATTCTGGTATATAAGAGGGGAGCCTTTGTAAATGCTCTCAGCACATGGCCTTCCATGGCCCCTGGTGCAGGGCTCAGGTGGAGATGTATTATCTAATTGGGTCTAAGAGAGATTTATGATTTTAATCTGATGAGTTTGATGAAAACTTCTCCCTTCTGAATAGTATGATGGGCAGGCAGAACCCTAGTGGCTTCTCTAGTCATCCCACTACTGTGAAACATGAAGCCCATGACAGAGGATGAAAGCAGTGAGGATTGTGGGAAAATTGCAATGAGACTCACTTAACTGGCATCTTGGAGGCTCTGTCTGGATTTTGATGTTGGTGGACCAAACGGTGCCTTTTATGCCTCTTTTCCAAGATGCTCAAAAACCTTTTCTATTTGCCTTCTACCCCACTTAGTCCCGTGTTAGCAGTTAATTTTCAATTAACCTTCAAAGCAATCTCAAAAATAAAAATTTCACCAGTGAATTCTCTCTTCCTAATGTAGATCAGCACTTTGTATCTCACCTAATGTAAGATTCTCGCACAGAATCCTCTTGATCAGCCTTTGTTCCTTCACAGTCGGTCACAGAGATGACAAAAGGCTTCCCTGGCTCTAACTCAGAATTCTGCAAAGTCTCCATTCACCACAGGGGTAAAAGCCAAGAGCACAGGTCGTGTTTAAAGGAACCTCCCCATGGCATATGCCTGCTGCTGCTGTGAAAGAATTCCTCCCTAACGCCCATTATTTTCCTTGACACTTCTTCCTCATTCCCTTCTGCTCCTCACATGTGTGCCAGCTCCTGAGTCATTTCACTGCCAGAATCTCAGTGTCACTGACATCATCTCTTGATCAGGGTCAACAGTAAACACACCTGAGCCCAAGTCTGTTGTTATTTAGATAAAGGCATCCACTACCAAGGCCTAAACATCCTGTAGCAGCCAAGCTTAGTCTTAAACACATAAAGACAGTTGAACTCTGTGACCTTTTGTCAAGATGGAGTGGAGCCATCTTTATGAACCCAGACACTTTCCTTTAATTCATTCCCAAGGGGATGATTTTCGTCTTCTACAGAAAACTCACCTGTCCACACATGTTACTGTCCAATGCTTGCTCACAGCTTTTGTACTACTTGGGGAATTATTTCTGATTTTCCACCCAAACTCTAAGTAGAATATATTTCACCAGAAGTGGAGCAGGTTATTTCCTGTATCAAAGTCTATGAATGTGTCTGAAACCTGGGGCAAAGCTAAAAATCGCAGGGGGAAGCTCAATGGTGCTGGTAAATTGAACAGGGCTATTCTTCCCACAAGTTAAACTCATTCTTGCTTCTGTTGCTTTTGTTTTGCAACTAAGAGCATTTTAATTAGATAAATGCTAATCTAATTAGTCTTCACTAAAATTAAGTAAAGAGTGCATAACATGTTCCAGATGGAAAGAACACTTTGTGAATTATGCATTGTGCCTTAAGGTGTACTCCTGTTTAATGTTTTCCATTAAAAGGGGTATATATTATACAACTGAGAAAAATTGACACAGCAGACCATGGAAACCATTTTTACCAGGAAAAGGAAACCAGCCAGGAGTGAAATACATCTCAGTTTAGAAATTTGAAGATTTTTCTAAATAAAGAAATTCCATCACTCTGCTCTGAATAGTGGAGTTTTCTGTGGTGTAATGAGAACCATTGGTGGAATTTGAGAGTGATGGTGTTTCCATAGATGATGGAAACTGGGAAGTCACTGGGCCATGAAGCAACTCTTAAACTCCTCACTGGCTAGATTGTTTACACACACTGCATAATTTTATTTTCAAAATACTTTTTCTTGATGCATATAAGAGATACTATTTTGTTGAAGAACAAAACGAGGCTCGGAAACAAAGCAGAATGTAATAGACAGCCCCACATTTCCAGGTATTGGCACCTGAAATCAAAAACTTAAAATGTTGATAGGTGTACAGAGTTTCACTATTGCCCAAATAACAATTTCTTGAGTAAATTTGTTCTAAAATGTATTACAGCGCTTATCCCAATTATGGATCTATGGGGTGAAACTGCTTAGAAGCCTTAGTTGTACTTTCACACATACCACATCAAGTCTGGGGTGAACTTTGGAAACTTCTGTAGCCTCACTTGACCATAAAAAATGACCTTAGGTGTATAGATTTTTCAGTACCTCAAAATATAAAATAGCTCAAAAAGTATCTCTGTTGGGCATAAAACAAAGAAGACAAAACCCCCTTTCCATTTTTGTCAGGGTGTGAGAAATCTTAAGAAAATTTGAAAGAACTGCACAGAACCTCTGCAAGTCCAGACCATACCAAATTCTCCACCTGGGACAGAGGAGGTAGGAATGCAACCCCATCCCTAAGCACGAGGCCACTGGCAATTGTTAACTGTGGGCATAGGAAGAGTCAGTTTTCTCTAAGAGTCTATCCCCCTATATGTTGATCACTGTCCAATGGAAGATCACACATTCATTAATATTTTGAGTAGCACAATTTGCTCTTTAAAAGGAAACAAAATTGAGATGGATCTGGGAAGCATTGTGGGAGGGAATATGATCATAACATATTGTATGAAATTTGAAACTATCAAACAATTTTTTTAAAAAGATAAAATAAAAATTGAAGATATTAAGTAATTAGTAAGTATTTTATGTTAGTGTTTTTAAACTAAAACATAAGGATGATATTAAGACTTTAAACATATATCCATAAGAAATGTATCCTCTAGGTTGGCTATTACAAACAGTGCTGCTATGCACATAGCTGAACATATGTGCTTTGTTGAATGAATGTGCATTCTTTGGGTATATGCCCAAGAGTGGAATTGCTGAATCTTGAGGTAGACTGATTCCCATTTTCCTGAGGAACCGCCATACTGATGGAACTGGAAGAAAACATCTTGAGTGAGGTAACCCAGTCACAGAAGACAAGCATGCTATGGAGTCCCTCATATATGGATATTAGACATAGAACAAAGGACTACCAGCCTCCAATCCACAACACCAGAGAAACTAGGAAACAAGGAGTACTCCAAGAGAAGAACACATGGTCTCCCGAAAAAGGAGAGGGGGACAAGAACCCCTGAGCCAATTGCGAGCATGGAGGGAGAGAGGAGGGAGGTAGGAAGGGGAGGGGAGGAGAGGGGAGGAGGACTGAGACGGGGCACGGATAGAGGAGGACAAGAAAGGAGATGCCTTGATAGAGGGAGCCAGTATAGGTTTGGAGAGAGGTCTGGCACTGGAGAAATATTCTGGGATCCACAGGGATGACCCCAACTAAGAACTTAGGCAGTGGTGGAGAAGCTGCCTTTGATGCCCTTCCCCTATAAATGAGATTGGTGACTACCTTGATTGCCATTCCTAGAGCCTTAATCCAGTAGCTGATCAAAGCAGAAGCAAACACCCACAGCCAAAACACTGAACCATACTCCTGGAATCCAGTTGAGGAGACAGAAGTGGGATGAGCAAAGGAGCCAAGAATATGCTGAAGAAACCCACTGAATCAGTTGACCTGACCTCTTGAGAGCACAGAGACCCTAGCCGCAAAGCTGGGAACCAGCCTTGGACCAAACCAAGCCCTCTGAATGTGGGTGCCAGCTGGGAGGCCTGGTCAGTCTATGGGACCTCTAAGAGAGGAGCCAGTGTTTATCCGTAATGCACAAATGGACATTGGGAGCCCATTCATTCCCTATGGAAGGATAGATACTATTGCAGCCCAGATACACAAAAGAGGACCTAGGCTCTCCCCCCCAAATGATGTGAAGGACTTTGATGACCCCCCCTGCAGTGGAGGGTCTCATTATCCTTTGAAGTGGGTGAAGGGTGGGTTGGGGGGGGGTCAGTGGAAAGCATGGGAGGATAGGAGGACAAGGGAATGGGAGGATTTATATGTAAAATAAGATGGTTTCTAAAATAAAAAAAATATAAAATAAAAAAATGTATCCTACAATTGTATGGAGATATCAAGTCTTTAAAGCATTGCATGTCACTCTCTTCAGTGGAAGAGAGAAAAATACTTTAAGTCAATGGCCTGGAAACAGAAATTAAACAACGCAGGTATGATGGTTTGAAAGAAAATAGAGAGTTAGCTATCAGGAGATGTGACCTTATTGGAGTAGGTGTGGTCTTGTTGGAGGAAGTATGTCAGTGGGGGTGGACTTTGGGGTTTCAGATGCTCAAGCCAGGCCTAGTATGACACTCTGTCTTTTCCTGTTGCCTGTGTACCAAGATATAGAACTCTCAGCTACCTCTACAGCAACACATCTGCCCGTGTGACACCATGCTTCTTGCTATGATAATACTGGACTAAACGTCTGAAACTGTAAGCCAGCTCCAATTAAATATTTTCCTTTATAAGAGTTGCAATGGTCATTGTGTATCTTCTCAGCAATAGAAACCCTAAATAAGACACCAGGTATAACTTTCAGAACCAAACTTCAAAATGTGAACTTTGAGTTTCTGCAAACTAGTTCACTATCAAGACCAAGCAGAGCCGAGTGTTGGTGGCACACGCCTTTAATCCCAGCACTAGGGAGGCAGAGGCAGGTGGATCTCTGTGAGTTTCAAGGCCAGCCTGGTCTACAGAGCTAGTTCCAGGACAGCATCCAAAACAATACAGAGAAACTGTCTCAAAAACCAAAAAAACCAAAAAAAAACAAGACCAAGCAGAATCACTTAGCTTCGAGAGCACAGTGAAGACTTCTGGGGATGCCTCTTGGTTGATTATGCTTGTCCGTTGTGCATGAAGTCCAGTGCCACATATACAGGAATAATTGTACATAGCTGTGATCCCAACACACCAGAGGTAGAGGATCATGAATTCAATATTATCCCTAAACATACAATGATTTTGTGGCCAATCTAGGCTACGTAAGACTACATAAAACACTGTCTTGGAAGAAGAGAATTCTGTGAAATGGGAAGAGTTGAATAAAAATTTTTAGTCTCCCCCCCAGGCAGAGTTCACAGATAACCCTCCCGGTTGCCAGCAAAACTATATCCATGTCTGCAGTTTTGGTCGTAGAGCCTCAGTTGTTAGTGCAGAGGTAAAGCTTCTGGATTCAGTTAAGTTAGAAAATCTGGTTGCAAAATGCTCGGGACCTGGTTTCAGTCTGGTCAGAAGTCAGTAAAGGGTCAGACCCACTCCTTCATAAATAACTATGCAGATGAGATGTCCATTGTCACCACTTTAGCATTCAGGGCTTCTCACTGGCTTTGGAATTCTGGAGGCTCAGCTAGATGCTTGCACAGTCAGCTCAGGCCTCCACACATGGCAGTCAGAGGGCTTGGGACTTTCCTGCCGCAGTTGGAAGTCATTTCTGCCAGAAACAGCCACAAGGGAAAGTAAACAAGCCTTTGGGAGTCTGGAGCAAGCTTTGTCACCTCCCACTGCTTTGCACTTACCTCCAACAGTGCAGCCACAGGTGGTTCATGAATGGATCCTAGTCCTCTCTCTGCAGCCTCGGAACAAGCCCCACTGGAGACAAAACAGGAAAAACGGTACATAAGCAAGTGGAGGTGTTATGAGTCCAGTTTCCTGAAAAGGATGCAGAAGGTTCGCGACACGTTTCCACGCTTTGCGTTGCTGTGGCATGTCGGTTCTATCTGTACTTTCTATGCAATATTCATATCCACAATATGACACTCACTTGTGTGTTTTCCGTTACTTGGGAAAAGACACTGTAATTTTATCTCTGACCAGCAAACGCTGTTTCTAGTATCAATAAGAGTGTGTTTGTTAACATTGTCTCCTCTATGGTTGAGATCACCTCCAATGTCTGTAGAAGAATCAGTTTGTTCTTTGATGAAGATCTTTTAAAAAACATCGAAGTACATGTTTTATGCAAAATAATATGCATATTTGTGAATGTGTATGAAAGACATGTTTGTGGAAAGGAACACTCCCCTCAAATGGCTTCACTTTTTTAAATGAATTAATTAATTGAATGTGTATGCATGTGTGCCTATGCTTGGGGATGTGCTTGTGAGGGTAGGTGCCCATACATGCCAAAAGAGGGCATTAGTTGAATCCCATTGAGCTGGAATTGCAGGTAGTTGTAACCTACCCAGCATGGTGCTGGACACCAAACATGGGCCCTTTGCAAGAGCAGCATGTGCTGGTAACAGATAACCTATCTGTATTTACAGTATCTGTACTTACAAATATTTCCATTCAGATTTGAACTCCAGGCCTTCAGTGAAGGTCTGAGGCTGCCCCAGAAATGTGAGGTCTTGAAGCTAGCTGCTCGGAAGCATGTGGAAAGGGTTACTGGGTGACTCTGTCCATTGCCCCTGGTCTTTTCCATCTGTGTTTCTGCTTCAGCTCCTGGCAGCCCTTCTGAAAGACAAGTGTTGAGTCTTGTCAAACAAATTTTTATTATGCTGTATTGACCACGTTTAGGACATTCTCACTAAGCTTTTGTTGTTGGTTTTCCTTCTTTTGTAACATTTAAGAAAACCTTCAGGAACCTACTTGAACTTCAGTAAACTTGTTTCTACATAGGTAAAGCCTGAATAATACCACACTGATTGAGTAAAGTTCTGTGTTCTCTGTGTGTGTGTGTGCACGAATGTGCATGTACCCTTGCATATGAGGCAGCAGGCTGTATTTGATGTCTTTCTCCATGATTCTCCTTGATTCTTGAGACAGGGTCCCTCACTGACCTTGCTGCTCGTTGCCCTGAGCTCACTGACTCAGACTCGCTGTCCTTCTGTCTTCAACCTGCCAGCTCAAGGATTACAAGCACACCCCACCACACCTGGGTTTTTCATGCTGGTGCCGGGGATCTGAACTCACATTTGCATGCTCGTGGAGTAAGCACTTTACCCACTGACCCCTCTCTAGTCCCTGCTTCCAACCAATTTCTTATGTGTTTAGTGATCAAGATGCCAATGGAAACAGCTTGTCCTCTTTATCTTAAATATGTAACATGTAATATGGAATCCGTGCAATTCAAATGCATTCTTTGTGTTTTCCAGAAACTTTTATCAGCATCACTGTGCCAGCCTGCCAAGCTATACCTGTGTGATATGCACATAAAAGTGTGGAGAGAAGGGAGAGGGGCAAGACCTTCATCACATCACCACTGACTGGGAAGCGCAGCAGCCAGGCTGCCATAGTTACCGTTAAGTTCAGTTCCTAGAAGGGATTTAGCTGAAGGTTACTGAAAACAGCTCAACTTGTGTGCAGTTGTGGTATATATTTGGCATTTAGAGAGCAATTTTAGAATAATTTTTACCATCTCACTAGTGATATTTTTCCTAAAATCCATATCCTGCCTACTTACACATTTTTAATAAATGTTAGCTAGTTTGGGTTACAAAACCTTTCTAAAATGGTTTCAGTTGCCTGCTTATAGCAATGATTACGTTTTCCTATTAAAATGTACTGAACTTCGCGCATTCAACATATAATAGTTTTTAGTTCTGAACATTCATTTCTTTTAAAATACTTCTTTATTACATTAGCCTTTAAGTTACGATTGCAGAACAGGCCTCAGAACGGGATTTATTTAAAATTGCTGTCAAAATTCAGTATATTATTGTGCCAACATTTTTGAAAGAGCACCATATTTGGCTGCAAAATTCAGAATTGTCTCTCACTCTCTTTTGCCTAAGAAAAATTTGCATTTCATGTGTGAAACCACTAGAAAATTGGTGTCTTGACTATGAGACAGGCTTGCTTGGCTGTTCTCACCTCCCAGGCCTCCTCATCTTTACTTTTGCCCACAGCTTCCACTGCGGATGCAATAAGATTCACGATGTAATGCAATTTAAAATGAAAAGGTATGGCTAGGTCAGTGAAGTATTTACTTTACAAGCAGGATGACTTGAGCTTAATCCCAAAAATATAAGCAAAAAATGCCAGGTACAATGGCACACTCATAATTCTGATGTTGATGAGGTGGACATAGGAGAATCCTTGGGGCTCAGTGACTTGCCAGCCTGGCGTACCTAGAAAGCCATAGGCCAATGGGAAACCCTTTTTCAAAGGAGGTGAATGGTCTTCCCAAGAATGACAAGTGAGGTTGCCCTCCAGTCTGCGCACATACACACATATACATGCACTAGCATATGCAAGGACATATACACGTATAACAATGAAGTTGGTGTATTCAAAACAGATGTATACCATGAAAAGTCACATGGTTATACCTCATAAAAACCCACTGACCGAAGAGCTGACACATTAGCTACCAGAGAAGCCTTCTTTCCATTGCAGATTCCACAGCCCTTGGGGCCTTTTGACATTCAGTGACATTCACTGTGACATCTGCTCTGAGGATGTTAGTTCCAGTCTCCCTGTGAGTATGAGTTGCTTTATTTATAGTAAATGCTTTGCCCTTTCCAAATGTTTTTTTTTCTTTCTGATTTTGAATGTGGCCACCACATTGAATCATTGCTTAGCATTCCTCCAGCTTTAATACGTGTACAAATCACCTGAAATTTTACTGATATGTAGATCTCTCTTGACAGACCTCAGCAGATTTTCTGTTTCTATCAAGTTCACATGGGTTAAGGAGCAAGTGTAGGTGAAAGTTTCTGTCTCTCCAGGTCCCGCCACCCTTCTGCCCCAAATAAGCACACAGAGACATATTAATTATTAAACTGTTGGCTGATGGCTTAAGCTTCTTATTGGCTATCTCTGTCTTAATTTTTAACCCATTTCTATTAATCTATATATTGCTACGAGGTTGTGGTTTACCCATAATCTGGCATATTGCTCCTTCAGCAGCATGGAATCTCTTTGAGGCCTCTCTGTGCCTCCTTTAGCAAATCTTACCTGCATATGCCACCACAACTATCTTAAATTTGTAGCCCAGGCTGGCCTCGAATTTGCTCAGGAAACCTCCCTTAATGGAGCTTTGAGCCTCTGGTACAAGTTAAGGAGCAACAACTTAAATCAACTTCCCAGTTCATTCTGTAGCTTTTGAGGACACTATCACTCTAATTGACACCTCAATGAGTCATTAAGATCTTTCTGACATGCCCTATCCTGTCAGTCCCCAAATTACTATTCTGATTTCTCAAGGTCTCTTATTCTGTCCTCCCCTTAATGCCACACTGCAGTTTCATTCTTTGGTTTATTTTTCTTCTAGTGTTATCATTTTCCTTGGTTCTCTCCAAACAGATTCCCAACCTTCCTCCATTCATAGGACCCCTTAACTACGTTTCCAGCATAGAAATATCATCATCAGAGATGAAGACTGTTCATTTAGTGTGGATATTATGTGCTCCCACAGAACCATGTGGTAAAAGCTTCATTGCCAAATCCAGGTGTTGTTGGGAGGTGTGGGGAACATGAAGAGATGGGGGCTAGTGGTAGGAAATCATCTGGTCATCAGGTATGTGCCTGTAGAGGAGACAGTAGTAGGACCAAGACTTTCCTTTCACTTTCTGTTCTACACATGGCAAGGTGGTGAGGGTTTTTTTTTTCTCCAGCATGCATCCCCCTACTTGCCACAGACTTACAAGTATCAGCTAAAGACCCATGGATAAATAAAACTCCAAATCTAGGAGCCAAATAAACCTTTGCTCTTAGTAAGTTAATTATATCAGGAATTTGTTATAGTCATGGAAAAGTGACTAACAAAGCTACATTTCATAATTAAGAATATGTTTTGGCTAGTGATTGTTATGGTTGAGGTGAAGCTATTTGCTTTATCTCTGCCAATTTAATAAATTTGAAAATTTTAGGTTGTTAGGTTGACTCTCATTATAGGACCACAACATTTATAACTACAAGACCTCAGAACATTCAGACAATGAGAACATATTAGACCTGTAGAACCTTGATTATTAAAACAAAACGGGGCCAGCATTCATGGGGAGAATGTGTTGGTAAAATTTAGTGGGGGTAATTAAGAAGCAGCTAGGAATTATGGGCTTGGTCACATCTGTCTGTCATCCCAGGACTTGGAAGGTAAGGTTAGAGGAGCAGAACTTTAAGGGGAACTTAAAGGAAGCCAGGAAACAAAAAATAAAATAAAAAAGAGAAAGCGAAAACAAAGAAATAAGAAAGTGAAGGTGTTGAAAGGGAAGAAAAGTAGGCTCTTAAACAGAGCATTTCAGAGTCCCATCAAAAGTGAACTGCCAAAAAGGATTGTAGAAATCACTTGGTGAGCTAAATGAAGTCGTCTTATACATAACCTCCCAGATTACATTTTTTACTTGTGACAAAAATTTTGAAGAGCTCTTTACCAAAAAATAGTGAAGAAGTCAGGCTCATTCCAAAACTTGCCCAGACGCCCACTGAGAATTGTGTGATGGCCCACCCTGCAACAAAGCACCATGAGAGCAGAGGCCTCAAGTCCAAGGCCAGACTGAGCTGCATGAGATCTGGCTCACTCCCCTCTGCAAGCCCCAAATCCACTGCATCTGGAACAGATCTATGAATTTTAGAGATGAAAAAGAGAAAGAAAGAGTGCTAACACACCAAGGCTGTGTTACATTGGCAAAGAGCTAGGGAAAATCAAGCAATTCCTTCAAACTTGTGAAGGACTGGCTATGCCAAAGGCAGAAGGAAGCCTGACCAGTCTCCCAGTCTCCTCCCTTTCTTGTTTGCATGGTCCCCACTAGATTCATGTGTCCCAACGTGTAGGAAACCATGGAAAGGTATCGGGTGGATATGTCTGTGTAGGAGGTGATTTTGAGGTTGAAATGTTCTGGTGATGTTTAATATTTACCATTGCCTATATTTGTGCAAGAGTCTCTGATGGTGTGTCACTCCCGAGCTTTCTATGTTTCTACAATGCTGCTCAAACAGAACAGGCAAGCAGTGTGACTTTTTTATGTCTAAAACTTTGGGATGGTTTTCAGAACATTCTGGAACATATCCCCTTTTCCGCACTGTGGTCAGAACCCTGCAGGAGTCTTTCATCTCAGTGGGTGACCTGCTTCTCTGGCCCTCTCCTTTGCATGCTGGACCATGTCTTCAGTAGAGCATTAAGCTAACCTGTCTTAGACACTATCTTGGCTTCTGTAATTCTTTCATTTTTTTCATTTTTGCTTATTTGCTTTCTTCTTAATATTTAAACCATCAAAATAGCTTCTCATTGGGCATTGGTAGTGCTCACCTTTAATCCCAGCACTTGGGAGGCAGAGGTAGGCAGATCTTTGTGAGTTTGAGGCCAGCCTGGTCTACAGAGCGAGTTCCAGGACAGACTCTAAAACAATACATAGAAACCCTGTCTCAACCCACCCCCCCAAAAATAGTTTCTCATCTGAAAGACATTCAGTTCTAAGCTGGACACTGACACACTATCTACAATTTGCCAATCTTAGTAACTTTTCAATTAGTTCCTCGCAAATGTTAGAG